ACACAATAAATATTGTGTCATTCAATATTCAATATTCATATTCAATAAAAATTGAATATTCGTCCTGTGCTGCAATCTCATAATAGTATATTAATTAAATTTTAATTTTTTAATTTAACCAAAGATAACAAATGTTTTTAACATTATAATTTCGAATACATCAGACAATATATATTAAGTAATAATACTCAAGATAGTTGATGTTTTATATTAATATATTATATACACCAAGATTTTTATATGTAAGAGAGCAAGTACTCCTTTATAACATGGGCCTAAATCAAAATAAAATGCAAAGTGCACTACACAATTATTTTATTACTTTTGAACTGACTTACTGCGACGGTGGAGCCATTTTTTCCGACACCACCGGCAAGAATGACGGATATGCTGCTCTGTGCAAGTAAAATAGCGATGCCCACAGCAGCCCATAATGGAAACACCTTGACCTCTGTGCCAGTGTATGGCAACTGTGCAAGCGACACGAAAAACCTTTTTATTAGTTACTTTTAAACACATCTCTAGCATATTTCATTACATACCGATGAAAACTTCTTGCTTTTGAAACAATTTCAAATCTTTAAAACACATATACATTAAGCAATTTGTGTGATTTCACAAGGTGTTAAAATCATTTAATTGAAGGTTTTGTATTTTTAATTTCATATAAAATATTTGTTCGTTTTTAATTTAATAAAAAACAAAAAAAAATAAATCTATTTTAAAGTTCTTACATCTAACAAAATATTGACATACTCTTTCTCATGAATATCATTTTTCTTCTAAAAAATTTATTTTTTTAATTTAATGTAAAGATAATATGATCACTATTCAACATAGGTAATTATTTGTTTACATTAAAATAGCAAAACTCCATAGCTAGTAAGCACCTAAATAAAATGAAAGGTAAATTTGCATAAGAGAGATTACATTTGGAGATAATATTAAAACATAAGCTGTATTTCTTCATAGCCTGCACACCATACAAGAATTTCTTATTGTAGTAATGTGCATATAGATTATTAAATAAGATTTAGTAATGCAGAAATTGTCCTTTAACATGGATAGCAATAACTGAATGATCTAGATAGGCAAGCAATATAAAAGAAGAAAGATCTGATTACTATGCTAATGATGGAAAATTTACATATATACAACTGATGAGTTTATATTTTTGAAACTTACTGCAATTGTGGAACCATTCTTTCCAATCCCACCAGATTCAAAGACTTTACAGAATTCAAGGAATACATGAATGTAGCCTGCATAAAAGAATACTGCTACGTAGTTACTGATTGTGCCTACACCAAGCACTGGTATCTAAACAAACGCATAAAATCTCGCTCGTTATAAAAATTGCAGAAATGCAATTAAAATTTAACCTAAGTTTACTCTGTATCTTACATTTATTCTATGTAACTCTCAATTTTTTTCAATATGAGCTAGTTCCACTTGTGGCCCATTACAGTACATGAGATAATAATAAATTAAAACATCAGGCACGAAGGAGCTGCTTTTTTACTCAATTTCCTACCTGCATTTCTAAATATTTACGTTATAATAATTTAACTGATAATTGAGATGAAAAATTACATTTTGAATCAATGAATTATAATCATGATACAAAGTACAAATTTTATATTAAATTATATACTTATGTGTGTGCTTACTGTTTGGAGTTAATATAAATTTTTCTAGTGTTAAACTTTATCTCATTATTTTAAAAGTATATATTAATTTTAAGGCATTTACATAGTATAGTGATAAATTTATATACCTAAATTATATTATCTAATATTTTATTATTATTTATTGAACATTTTTTGATAGAAATTGTTTCAAAAGCATAATTCCAAGTATTAAAAGTAAGTTGAATTTTTACACATAGCCTTGCACAGTACAGGAATATATTCTAAATATTATTTCTCTATTATATCATAAATTTTACTAATACCTTTTAATATATTCTCTATATGAATGAATTTGATGGACAATTGTAGGTACAAACGTAAGTTATGATGCACTTATGATGAATAACAATGTGATGCAGGAAAGTAAGAAAGAATTGGATGAAGGGAAACAAATGAGTAAGAATTGGAAATAAAATGCATGTTACAATAAGTTTCATAGCAAAAAAGGTAATTTCAGCGCTGCTCCTCATGCCATGCTGCTCCCATTTCCATACTTCCAAAAACAAAAGTCTAATTGACTAACTTACAGCCACAGTTGAACCATTCTTGCCCACTCCTCCGGTGAAAATCACCGAAAAGATGAAATATAAGTTTGCCATTGCACAAATTACTGTCATAACTCCTATTAAATACTTAAACATAAAACCATCTATGTATGGTATCTGTAAGAAATAATCTCGTTAGACTCATGCAAAGATATTCTCAAATTTTTTATAAACATGAGTCTTGAGATAAAAATGCAGAACTCACTAGAAACATTAGTTTTTCCTTATATAAAAAATCATTAATGCATAAAGTGAAAATCTTCAGTTAGATTAGAAATTGAGTAATTAGTTAACTTTTTAACTATTACAATTTGTTCAATTACTATTCGTCTTTTATCCAGTGCATAAATTGACGAAATGAATCGAAAATACATAAACAAATATAACACATACATATATAATGATATCCTCATATTTTATATATATATGGCATAATAATGTATATAACATGAGAAAATTATGAGATAGATAATAAGAAAAGTAGAAAATAACATTTGATGAAGGTTTGAATGAAAAATCATGGTGAACTTAATATGAATAAATGATAATATAGTGTACTCAAAAAAGAGAATCAATATTTGGGTTCTTAATATACTATAAAAGTTTATAATACTGGAAGTTTTTAAATGCAATTATGCAGAATATCTACAAGCCCCCTAAATTTACTGCAAAATTTGATACTATGCCTTAAGAACGAGTTTCTGTGATTAAATAATCTTAATACTAAACAAGCTTATATTTGTTTGAAAAACTAAAAATAAGGAAAGAAAAAATATCTTATGACAGTCAATTACTTAATTATATAATTTGTGTATCTCAAAAAATTGGTAAACCAATTAGTCAACCAGTATAACATATAAGCATAACATTAAAGTTATAATGTTTTATTAATTGACATAAGATATTCTCATTATGTAACCTGTACGTCTCTTAAATCGTTAATGAATAAATTAATGAAGCATTTTAAACATAACATGTTTTCTAAATTACATCAGGTAATTTTGTTGATTGACATGAGATATTCTAAAGTTATATAAATGTAAAATTAGAATTATTAAATTAGATACAACCTCTATCATCCATACTTGTGGCCCAAAAATTGCAGAAATAAGGTGAATCATTATAATAGTAAATTGTGCTTCTGTGACATCCACTTTGCCAAATCTTAAAGAACCTATTTAAAAACAATGACATTGTGAAATAAATAAATTTAATAAAATCATCCTTATTAACATCTATAAACTTCTTACCTGAAACATATGTCTGCCAATGTGCACAATAAAAAAGTGTCATGGCACAAAAGCATTGGAAAAACATCCATGTTGGATAATATCCTAATTGTACTGCTATACACGCTGATAGAGCAATAAAAACTGGAAAAATAAAAACACAATTTTTCATTCATTATAACAGAAATTTAACACTGTCATGTAATATAAAATATAAAAGAGATTTTTTTCCACACTATTTTATAGAGGTACTATATTTAGTTTTAATATGGATTTTTAACATAATAAGTTAAAGGTCACATTAACATTATCAACTTAAGCAACATACCGGTTGATATGGAGTCACACCCATGATCAAATAATTCACCCAATGGTGTTGAAGTTCCTGTTCTTCTGGCTTGTTTGCCATCTATGGCATCTAAACTTTGATAAATAAACAAACCAAGTGCGCATAAAAAACAAGCCCACCTAGGTGCCTAAAATATTAAAGTAATATTATATCTATATATTAAAGTAATACTATATCTACATATTAAAGTAATAAATAGATATTTATTTCATTTAAAAAAATGTTGTTTTCATGAGTACAAATTTTTTTGTACAAACATCACATACACAGTAATACTCCATTACATACAAAATTTTCTTCTAACGAATGATTTTATGTAAAACTGTAAAAGTTGACAATTCTATTTTTTACATTTATATCGAATATGTATCAAATTTTCAAGTTCACAACCTTTTACACTGTCATCCAGGATATGATGTGTAAGTACGAAAAATAGGTTATGTAGACGATACCTCGGTTTTAGCATCTGGACTATAATATACAAGGATCAAAGTAGTCGCGATGTTGACAATCAGTCCCACAATAGTGATTAAATTTGGTGCAAGCCAAAGTGGAACCTTGCTAACAAGCCAGTCCCACCAGGGTTGAAGAAATCCATCCAAAAGGCTGTTCGTCGTACAGCTGTACTTATGCTCACTAAGACGTTTCAGTTGTCCAGGTGACAGAAGCTTTTCTTTATAAAACTGCATAATTCGACGTGGCCGAATTATTGGGAATACTAAGAATGATTATAATACTTCAACAGTCATCGATACCTCAAAACACAATGGCTAACCATAACAAGTAACTGTTCGCCAACATGTACGACATCTCTTCACATACTACTTCTAACCGGAACTACAACCAAATCAACAAAAATACTACATTTCTTCCACATGTGCAAAATATTTTAAAATTATACGTCAACGATAACACTAACAACTTGTATTATACGAAAAATTTCACCGAAAAGACGTTATAGATTACAATATTTGTATAATGTGTCATTAACGATCATCTCTTTTATGTAAATATTCTAATTTCGACAGAGAAGAAATGTTTCGGATAAAAATATATGTATATACTAAAAGTTGCTATTTAAAATTTTGCCGCGGATTCCTATAATTATATTTTATTTTTATATCTTTTATTGAGAAAGATATTTCTATTCTCTTCTATTATATTTATTTTCTTATTTCATAAAATGTGTCTACAATTTTAGATATTGTTCTTTCAAATTCTTAAACTTTTAAGTTATCGAATTTAAAGCAAGTAGTCAAAATCATGGCGGCACTCGGTAGTTTCAGCAGGCTATTTAATTTCGCCACAAATACCTGTATTAGAAGGATTCTTCCTGCTTCAATAAACAAACAATATTATCCGGGTTTGTCAATATTTTTTCCGTAAAAGTAATACAAGATTCGCTTCTTTATTTGTATGAAACTTTAGGTTATATAACCTGAAATTTGTTTGATGTAATTCATAAAGCATTATGTTAGTAGTAATTTTTTAATAAACCACATCATACTGAATGGTTTATAATTATCGTTCTTTTAACTATACATTCTGTGATTGTTTATTATAAAATATAAATACTGTATTACTACATTTTCCTATTAGATTATTTATTATTATTACCATTATCAATATTATATGTTTGTATATTATACTATATATTGATTTGTATACTAGCAAAACATAAAAATTAACGATTAAGGATAAGTAAATAACAAGTTTGTGCAAAACACAAAAAAATGCATTATTTATTACAGGATTAAAATTGTGGGAGATAGAAGTAGCTGGTTATGCTTATCGCAGGCAAACAATCAAATATAGGTTACCTTGGTTTAAACCACAACCAAGCTATCAAGAAGAAATACCTGAAAATTATGATAAAGAAAAGGAAAAGGCAGCTGCTGGTAATTATATATAATAAATATAGAAATATTAATGAAATGTACTTTCAAATTAATTTCTTAATTATATTATTTAGATAATTTTATAGCTTCCTTCTTCTTTTTAGATGTGATCAATGAAATTAACAGACAAATAGCTACTAATTCGGTTGGCCGCTTATTTGCGGTCATACACTTATGTGGAGCGCAATTTAAAGTCACGGAAAGTGATGTTATAGCCATTCAGGGTCATTGGCCACCTCAACCAGGAGATGAATTAAAATTGGAAAAAGTGTTATTGGTTGGTGGTAAAGATTTCACACTCATTGGAAGACCCATACTGAATAAGGAATTGGTGTCAGTTAATGCGACTGTAATCCAAAAGACCTTGTCTCACACTATAACTCATTTCAGAATGAAACCAAGAAAACAGTTTAGGAGAATAAATTGTAAGAACAGTATCGTAATTAACGCTATAATCAACACATTGTATAACTATTCCATTTAACACATCTATTTCTTTCACAGTTATCAGAATACCCAGAACAATGTTAAGAATAAACTCTATAACTATAAATGGAGATGTCAACAAAAAGAAAGAAGTTGAAGGCTTAGATAGAATATATTAAATAATAAATAGCATAATGTACAGTATCATACCACTCAACAACATTTTTTAATTTTAATCCTCTGAAATAAATCTACTATTAATGTTAATTCAAATTTATTTAAATTGTTATAAAATACAATAAATAAAATTATTAATATTTCTAATGTTTTCAATATTACTGCAATTGTGTTAATTATTAATAATTTAATTTTTTTAATAAAATATATATATATAAGGAAATAGCAATATATCATGCTAAAATAAGAAATAATATTACAGCGTTGTAAGCATATAAAACGTACAAAATTCGCGCGGGGGTCTAGTATCTTGAAGTTAAAATATCAAACCTCAGAAATAAGAAAAAATAAAATCCAAAAAAAGTGTATCAGGAAAAATATAATAGAACTTTGAGCTCCGCGCGCTCGCGCATGTGGTGTGACAGGAAGAGAAGAGTGGGAGTAGTGTATGAGTAAGATAACACTAAGCAAAATGCCGTAAGATAAAAAGAGATAAAAAGTGAGGTTAGTTTGTGAGTAAGAGAGAAAGAGATTGATATGAATTATGAACGACGAAGACAGAATATTTGAATGACGTCATAAGCTACAGCTTCAAGGAGGTTTAAACGAGAGTACGAGAGTACCAGTCTGTTCTTCATACCTTGCACTCTCGATAAAAACTAACGCCAATAGTTCGTACGTTCGTCGTGCCCCATGACAGTTGCTTATAAATCGTTGCATAGAATAGGCCGGTGTTTTCCTGTCAATAATATGCAAGCACAATATTAAATAATTCGTAATATATTATTATTACATAGATAAATAAAAAGAAAATAAAAAACCCTCCCTCATCCGTGTATTAGCGTCCAAATCGAATGTAAACGATTCCTCGTCGGGCCAGGAAATTTCGTAGTTTCCATAAACCTACCAAAGTAACCTAACTAAAGTGTGTTATATTATAATTCGGAAGAAGATGGTGCTTTCGGAATGTTACGGATTCGTCAAGTATGCGTTATTCTGCGTGAATATTGTATTTTCGGTAAGTTCAAACAATCCATTTTTTGAAAATATTTTAACACGTTAACTCTATTGCTGTCGTAATATTACATTTTTCAATGAGTAAATTATACTTAATCAAATAGACCAATTAAACATTTGAAATGGTAAATGATGTAAGTGTTAAATAAATAACTATTTTAATGAAAATGAATGAAGTTGCATACTAAATATGGTGGTAAACACTATACGTGCTAGAATAATTTATTTTAACTACTGGTTGAAACGCAGAAAGTAACAATCTGTAATGTAATTAATCTAATCTATTTTTTATTATTTGTATTTTTCTCCAGATATATTAATTTGTTAAATGTTGAAAATATATAATATTCAAACGATAAACAATTTAAATGACAAGATTAATTTTCCTCATTTCTCTTATTCTTCACTTAAATCACACCATTGACCATTTCAAGTTTTTAACTATCAGTGAATAAGGAAAGGAGAATCTTTTGTACTTATTTGAATTAATAATAGTAAGTGATACGGACTATATTTGTAACTCCTCAAATTCTTGTCATCGCCTTAATTGCAGAAACTTGCGATTTTCTACTTTAAGACTTCCGTAAAATTACTGGTCGTGAATGTGCTAATAGCTGTAGTTAACTGAACAATTGTTTTATGGTCTGTTACTACACTTTTTCTCTCAATACCATTTTGGTAGATTTTCATACTTAATTTGACCATTAACTTAGATATGCCTGTAATTTTTGCAAAAACATGGATATATTTTGCGATTTTTACGACAATTAATTTAATTTACAATTTCTCCAATATTGTTTGGAATGGATAGCCATATCTCTTTTTAAATTCCACCATTTTGATATCATTTTGAAAAATATATTAAAAAAAATTTCGGGCATATCTGAGTCAAAATTTGGTGAAAAAGGAAGATAAGATCAATAAGGAAACAATAAAATATTCAATGGTGTTATATTTAAAGTGATTTGGATTAATCAATAAAATTATTGCATTGCATTTAATAATGAAGGGTAACTTTATTCACAAGGGGATATAATTTACCGAGCGTTATGACCGTTAAGTACGCGCACGGCTCGTGTGATAATGTGACTTGGTTCAATAAACTTCAAGAGTTTTCATGCAAACGTTTTTATAAAAGTTAATAATTTTAATAGAAAAATTGTATGAAATTTAAGAAATAAATATCGCGTAAGAATTATATGTAATTTTAGTAACTTGTCACTTCTGATTTACATATTACTACCTATATAGAATTTTTTATGATGGTTATTTTTTTTAATTTAAACAAATATGTTGGCAATAACATAGGAAATAAAAATTTGACAATATCTGCTATTGAATAAAGATATTATATATGCAAGAATAAAGATAAAGAGATAAAGGACAAAAAGAGCAAAATAATTTCTGTGCCAACAACTCTGCTTAATTCACTCTTTACAGTCGGTTAACCCGGTGACCTCCAATTTATCTCCAAACGCGAACTTATTTCAAAGATAATAAAAGTAAGAGGCGTCTGAATTCGTAACATAATCGGATAAGCTAAAGTATCATTAAGAAATTGGCCCGTTAGTTCGAATAAAATAAACCATACCACGCAATTTCCTTTTTAGTGACTTTAAACCCCTTTGAAGAAATTACTAACCATTTTTTCCGTTTTATAATTTATACGAAATTGCAATCTAATCATAAAATGATTTTTAACTTTCTATAACAATATTTTGTCTATACATTCATAACTTGAATACCAAAATATTACATATTAAAGATATTGGATTCTTCGAAATAATTGAATGCAATTGAATGCATGTAAGATATGAATAGCAAAAAGTAAAAGTGTGACGTGGATATAGGAACAAATGTAAAGTCTAGGGATTTCTTGTTTTGGTGTCTAATTTGAACATAACTAAACGTAACTCTTGTGAAGCTGAATCGATTACATCTAGGTACGTAAGGATCTTCTCCGAATCCAGTTTCCTCTAAAAAAAATTCATCCTTTTGTGCTAGATCTTTCATCAAAAATTTGTTTTTTCATCATTTCTTCTTTCTTTTCCTCTAACCTCTTAATCTGATATTGTAAATACGGCATATTCGTGGGAAATTTAAGTAGTATGTCATGAAAATTTTAACGTTGATAAACTGTAGCATTCGCACGATTATCAGTGGGTCGCTTTAAACGAATTTTTCTTCGTTCATTTAGTATCACTTGAATAATATTCGTCTAGAGATCTAAAGAACTTTCTTGTAATTAACGCGAAAGTTCTCTAAATAGTCAAAACTCGTGTTATTTATACCTCAGTTTTTTTCGTGTAAGGTGAGATAATTCAAGGGGGCAGCTGAATCGATTGCATCTGGGTGATGCGTGTTTCTCGCATTTATCGCTGTATGCCCTATAATTTCACTGATTCACGTAATCGGTTCAGCTAGTTCCACTCGATGCATATACATCCGATTTAGCCTTTTTTCGATGATAAATTACCATCTGACAAATATCAAAAGAGGTATTTTTTGTTGTATATCCTTTTTTCACGACACACCAAGAAATAATACCTTTTTATTACGATTATAACGGGCGGCCATTTTTAGTCACTTCCCTAGTTACAAAAATGTCAAAAAATCCCTTTGCTACGATATTCTATACGTACGAAACTAAAAAGGAAGCACGAAAAAAATTTTTTTTTCAATTTTTGTTTTTTAACTGGCAAGGTACATCTTAATATTTATGAATCATGTTTAAAAATGAATCATGTATGTCATTTTTAACGATGTGTTGTTAAAAACTAAGAATCAGTAGGAGTGACTCAGATTCGTTGGTTATTAAACTGCAATCGCGAACATCGATCGAACACTAGCTGAGCTATTGCACATCAATATTTTACCGAGGAATTAACAATAGTGCTTATGTCAGCACCGAGACAAGCATCGCGTCTAGTTTGAAAATGTTCAACGAGGAATAAGTGCGTTTAAATATAGATTTCCAGTCACAGAACGAATATGTTCTTCCTACGAGTTTGCATCCTACACTATGGCCCAGTTTATTCCCATTTAACCTGTCTATTCACCATATCAATGCGTGTATTACTCGTTTTCATCCCCGATTAGTCGAACTTCAAAAGAATGATCGATCCAAAATCAAACATGGCGGATGAGTTACCCAGACAACATGCATAGAGGCTCACAAAAGTATCGGAACATTTACCGCGTAATTTTTTTATCAATATATCATGTGCATTATACGAAACTTCGTGAGATTGCTTTAGCATTGTAACGAGATACTACTATCGTGATTATAACAGTAAGAATTGAAAGCAATCCGAAAATGTATGTAAAAGTTACAAAACGTTTATTGCAAACATACACTTAGTGGACAATTAGTATGCAGCATGAACAACAGTCTTAAACGTACAATCAACGCTACAAGTGGTCTCATTAAATATCGTGGCTTATTAATGCACACACAACTAGTTCACAATTGACTGTTCAAACACTTTAGCGACCTTTGCGAAGTGCTATGCTATCCAATAAATATCTCGGTAACTTCTATATACATTTTCAAACCCATCTCAAATTTTAGCGATATAACCATAATAGCCCCAGTTCGTTAGTATTAATGAGATTTCAAAATGTTTTGTACTATATATTTAAATAACAAGTTTCTAGGAATGTTCGGATACTTTCGTGAATCGCTAGAATTACATACAAAGGAAAAGAAGGAAAGCAAGGAATGTTCGCTTTTTGTGAGTTTTCATCTTGTAATTGTTTGTAAGAATTATTCAATCGGAATTGTTTTTGTTACAATGTTCAAAATGTTTTCATGAGGTAACCTTAAAGATTTGGTATACTAGTTAAAACAGAGAATAACCATTCTTTACTGTTGCACAAACACAGATAAGAATAATTAATATTTTATTAATCATCAGTCAAAGTAAAGTATTTATACTTCATTTTATGAACAATATAGTTAAATTCATCCAATGTTGTTCTTGTTCTGGTGGACTAAAATATCTAACCTTAATTTTCTCAATGTAGCTGATTTGCGATATTTTTCGTTCTTTCTGCTTACTTTTTATGTATTTTGCGTAAAAAAAGCGTTCGCTATGATGAGATTCTAAAATTAGACATCGATGGAACGATGAATTTATCAATTTTCAAACTCAGTGACATTTACGTATGTGAGTAATACCCACGCTCATTAAAGATTAACGACTTAAATGACTAGGGTTGTGCCAGTCTATAGAAGGGAAACTAGCTGCTTGTTAACACCTGTATAAATATTCCTCGTTCTCCTATGTAGACAGTTTACTGTCACGGGTAATATACACAATCTAAATACACAGAGGCGTTCAATTGATGTCAGGTTCCCTTTCGGCGCTATGATTTCATTTCTAAAAGATAAAAATAAACATTCGAAAGTTCATCACCGATTTTTTTAAACGGAAAGTCTATCGATTCTATTTTCGTAAATAACCCAAAGACTATTAAACGTGGCGATAAACTATCGATTAAATTATACTTTTCAAACGTAAGTCTTAAACCGAGTTCTCTAAAAATTCATAATATCCGAACGCACGGTAGAAAATAATGTATGAAAATATGTAGCGTAGTAGCACGTATCATAGCTTTTCGTCGAAAGCATTTGGCTCCACAATTTCGCGCCAACTATGTCAAGTTCAACAACGTTAGTCGATGTATTTTATTCGTGGAACTAGTATTACAAATAAACGTAACTTAAACACTTGTATGTCCTCCTTTTTGTATTTCGAAGACTATACTAGGGGACTCTATTCTCTGCGATGAAGGACAGTAATAGACTACGGATTTTTATGCGTTTATAAAAAATTTGGAAGCGGAAACTTGCACGGAATGCAAATAACATGAGACTATATTAAGAAGAATATATAAGAGAAGATATAAAATATTCAAAGTACAGTGCGTTGTATAATACTTGATAGATAAAATAATTTTTTCTATCCAGCTTCTACCTTTTTATTATATTCCTAAAAAAAAATATGAATTTCCATAAAAATCTGTAAACTAGTACTAAAATTAAATCTAATCGAAACTCCCAAAATTAAATCTAAAGCTAGATTGTCATAGTCTCCAATAGCCCGATGATACCGGTTGAGGATTAAATTCGAGCCGCCTGCGACTTTATTTATTACGCTATATGTGTGATCTCTGATTGTATCGGCAAAGAATCCGCTTGACTCAACCGATCCACCAGAGATCTTGCTTCTGTTTCTTACATCAGCATTCGCAGCTCGAACGAGCACGAAACGAGTCGGGAATACAGGAAGTCCTCTGTTTAAACGACACGCCTCTGCCAGGATTATATGTTGAGTGGGTATCTCGAACGTGTTCTGTTAGGTTAACCCACTGAATCTTCAATCTTGAAGCCTATTCCAACCCCTGTAAACATCGTGTTCGAGAGCAACACTACTTACAGACTGTTGAAATGTTTATAAGAAAACTCTGTATATAGCCAGATTGAGTGTAGCCTAGTTTCGTTGTACTGATAAACATAGTGTGTTATTATACGCGCAGGAAATAAGTCTGTACTTGGCCGCTGAGTGGGCACATGACATATAACATCTCTTTTACACTCTATATATATATTCTTCAGAATGAGTACACGATAAATATAGAAATTATAGAAAACATGAATGTATTAAGAGAATAGTATAGAAAATCTTATAGGTATATTGTAGAAGAAAAATAGAAATACAATATCTCATAACAGCTGAATTTCTTTGTTTATGTGCTCTTTACTATATATATCAGGATATTCACACAATTATTTCTAAGTATTTTATTTTTTGTAGATTATAAATTTGTCAAAAAGCAGAAGAAGGATAAGTTTCACTATTTAATGGATTAAATAAATTTTTTACTTTATTATGGCGTTTACATAATAATCAGATATGAATAAACAAGGAAGAGAATTTATCATGACAAAAATACTAAGACACGGGTTTTTACTTGGAAATCTTGAAGTAAAGCGAACCCGAAAACGCTACAGGGTTGCTGTTACAAAAAGGGGAGAATGAGAAAGGCCAAACGTTTTCACATGGCAACGCACACATCTGGTGGACGTTGAAAAGCATTTCACAAGAATACTTCATTATTTATCCATATAGAGCATTGTGAACGACGCTTAAGCCGTAAACCCGAATACTCGTTCCCTGTTCTTCCTGTCTCAATAGGGCCAAGAAGGTCAGGTCATATTTTTACAGGCAGAGTAGGAAAACGTTTCGCCCATACAATACGTCATTTGCATTTGTATTAATGTTCCTTCAGAACAAAAAGATATAGATTCATAACTAGTACTAGTTTGTATTTATGTGAATATTTATGTATTATACTTCATAAATTTAACTTCAAAGTTAAGGATAGTAAAATTAGAAGAAGATTTTATTTTTTGTATAAATAATTTTCTTTCCGTTTAAATTTCTCCAGATTTCTGCAATATTTTAATTCTAAAAAATTTTTTAAATTTTTTAAGACGTTTATCTTTAAGTGTATAAAACAAAAAAGGAATTGTAACTCAAAAATGTAATTTAAGAAAGTGTAGTAACTGTTTGAAAAGGAATAATATAAGCATGTAAAATTTCTGTATGTTATTCCGTTCAGAACATGAGCTATGTTGTAACTTTCTATTCCCTTCTTAGGGAGCCAGGCAACGGTACCCTGTTTATCGTGAGAAGGGTCCCACTGATCCCTGAAATACTATCTTTCAAAAAAAGTTATCGCTGTTTGTAGTGCTATAGCTGCATTCCGTTAGCTTCCTAGAAAACAGCTTGTAAAGCCTCTTACTGGTCCATCTCTGCATACCGACATTTTTCTACCTATCTTTCCCAACAACCTTTAAAAAGGAAGAAAAAAAGAAGAATTCAGATCTTCCCACTTACTAGTTTCTGTTTGAGAATTTTTATATTACTTTTAACTTACAATTATCAACTTCTTTTGGATCTTTTATTACACATAACCTTGTTTAAAATAATAATTTTATTTGTTTCTTCTTCATTTCAGATGAAGGAATAAATACCAATATTAGAATTAATTTTCAATGAACATTTTCATATTATAAATAACATTTACATATTATAAATAATTCAATTGCTTGGAACTTCATCAAATTATAGGATCTATATAAACTATAGGAATGAAAAAAAAAATACTATCAAAGAAGATACTAAATAAATTCATGTAGTTCCCTTTGTCAATTGGAATTTCAAAGAACGGAATTAAATAACGTAAATTGACTGGAAAATAATTGCAAATGAAATGTTTTGCGTCTACGCAACCTAGTAAGTCCTAAATGGATTAATTAATTCAAAATACAAGATAACAACAATAATAAATGTTCATATTTTTAGGAACGCAAGTAAAGAAATGGAACCTAAACAGACTTGTTTTATTTTCCGAACTTTTAATCAGTAGCATACTTTATGGATATTTCATACAGTTTTGCATATTATACATTTTTTGCACAAATGCATAAACATCCACAGCCTATTAATCTGTTAACGGCGTAGTTTAGTTTGAAAAATCTCTTATAGGGTGCGCAGTTATAATCAAACAATGACGAATATACACGTCGAACACAGGGCAAATGCTCCTATTATAAATTTTACGAAAGAAATAAAGCAAACCAAGGAAGGATTACATTCTTATTCGAAAAAAAATTTGTTTAGTTTCAAAAATCATTGTCGAAAAAGAAATTGTCACTGCAAATTTAAAAATTGCCAAAAGTACACAAAACAATTCAGGGTGAAGGAAACACCGAACAGATCTCACAAAGGACGTAACCTAACATACAAATACTCACCACACTAAAGAAATAAATCAATCAAATTCGAAGATGGTATCCCACTAGGGGTAGCCATCCACATGCTATATTGCTATATCACTAAGCTATAATATTTTACCAAATGTCCTACTGGACAAATTGTAAAATGTAAATAAATAAATAATAAAAAAAAAACTTATATGTAAAATTTATAAAAAGCAGTACATTATAGGCAGAATAACCGATATTTTTTTTTTATTTATTAAAATTTACAATCAATTCTCGCATTGAGAATAATAACCGATGTACAAAAAAAAAATAATCAAACTTTTTTTTATAAAATAAATAATGAGTTTATTAAAAGTATAAAGGAAATTTACCGCGAAATGTCATTTATATTACTTCTTATTAAAATCTTGAGTTTTTATAGTAACTGATAATTTTTGATTTCACACGACGAGTATACACGTCAACCGCATCGAAATAAAGTTTTGGATTCACGTGTATACAAAACTCAAACGCAGTTAACTGGTCAATAACAATGATATACAATTGTATACAATATTACAATATACAATAATATAAATTATGAATAAAAATTAACTAAAACTTTAATTTTCAGTGTGTAGGTCTAGGAGCAGTTGTTATAGCACTATGGATGTTAACAGAGCAAACGTTCCTGACGTCCCTGGCTGAGGAACAGCATAATCTCAACGCCGGCTTTTACATCCTGTTTGCAGCCGGGTTCCTGATGCTGGTAGTCGCTGTACTCGGTTGCTGCGGCTCCTCCCGTGAATCTCGATGCATGCTAGTCGCTTTCTTCAGCTGTCTGTTGGTGCTTATCGTCGCACAAATCGCGGCTGGAACATGGTTGCACGCCAACAGCAATCGCCTCGAGGAACTGGTCAAGTCTAACGTGATAAATACCGTTAAGGTATCAGACAATTACTCGACTTTATCGCGAGCTAAACGCTCGTGCCACTATCCGTTAAAGGGAATTTGTAATTAACCTGGACCCGCCGTACTCTATGTCCATGTTAACCTTCTATAATTAGTCCATTTGTCTCTCTGAATGGTCTCCTCAAACGCCTATAATTACTCCATTCATCATCCTGAATTAGATACTTGTTGATACGTCTAGTCGTTCAAACGTATTCCTTATTGCTTCCTCCCGTTTCTTTTTAATATTTCTTGCTGCGTGACTGGGTTCAGTTAACCCTCTATGAGTTAGTGTCCTAGTCATGGACACTAAGAATCTTGTTTGGATATTAAAATTAGACTGTAAATATTTATGTTAATTTAAATTTTTATGAATAACTAAAAGATAATCTCAAAATATTATAATGAGTAATTTCTTTTTAATGTTTGCATATTCTTGCATATTACACACATTTTGTCTATTTCACAAATTTAAATTTTCCATAAATGCATAAATATCTATGATCTAGTGATAATAACTATCGAGTTCTTATATAAGATGTGTGGAGTTTGGAGGATTCATTAAACATTGTTGTTAGAAATGTAATATCTCATACAGTGTTACATAACATGAAAGAAAATTGAAGTTCTATAATACTTAATGAACTAGTCTATAGTCTATTATTATCTAATATCGACAAATCAAAATGCAAATTTTATTTAACAATATAACAGAGCTACAAATAGATTATATATAATAGACAAATAGATGTAGGTACATCATTCATTTTAATTCATTCCTCGTTTAAGAACAAATTTGGCAAGTACACAAATGTAAATTCTATTTTACTATATTAACATATGATATTTAAATACACAACAAGTAGACTATAATAAATAAATAGATATAGAAACATCATTTATTTTAATTCATTTTTCATTTTAGAACAAATATGGCGAAGACTCTGCTCATACAGATACTGTGGATACTTTCCAATCAGAATTGAAATGTTGTGGAGCAACCGGTCCAGCAGATTGGACAGGTAGCAAATACGCGACCAAAGACCCCTCGAATCCTGTCAGTTTAACCGTTTCTGAGGACGCGAATAACGAGTACAAAGTACCCGAATCCTGCTGTAAAAACAGAAGCAGCAGTGCATGCAAAGCAGATCGGAAAATTAAAGTGGCCGGTGTAGTTAAGTCGACAATTTACAGTGAGGTAATATCTCTTCTTCTATATTGTATCAAGCAATATGTAACTTCATCAGCGATAAAACACTACAGTGCACAAGAATATTTCATGACATCTAAAAGGAAGCAATTTTGGCTTGAAATTAGTTTTAGTTAGTTGACCACCTCAAATGTACCCGTTGAACTAACGTTTAATAGGGTTTAGTTCGAAATAAACAATTGATCAGGCCTACCTTTGCAAAGTAGTCATTCATTTCCATTTAGAAAATTCAATACGATTTTGATTTTTTTATGGGAAGATATTCATGTAACAGATTACTTTCTTTGTTAACAATTCTTTTTACCATATTATATATATTTAATATTCTTTAATATTATATATGTATAACAGTATTGAATATTACACAACAATGGCTAAAAAAAGTATGAATCATTCAAGTTAATGTACATTCTTTTTATAAATTGTTCATCTGTTGTAGAGTTTCTTAAAGCTAATTAACTTGCCAAAGCATTTAACGTCTCCTCCAATACCTATTGTTAAAACCATAGAACAGTGTTATGATTCACTGATGGAATCACGGCTGGTTGAGCGCATTAATGTGCCAATCGTCGTGAAAGCGTGGCCTCGATCAATTTTGACCGATTCTTTTCTCTTTAGGGCTGCGTAGACAAGCTAATGGATATACTGAACAACCAGATGGATGTAGTGATTGGCGTGATCTCTGGTGTAGGCATTCTGGAATTTTTTGGACTGACATTTTCTATAATGATGTGCTGCACAATCGGTTCTTCTGATAGGTACAAAGCTTGAACGTAATACGTTGTTAGGCGGCGATGTATGTATAATCCTTCCTTAACGCCACATATCGCCCTGTCACAATCTTCTAACCAGTATCGCGATATTTGATCTCTGTGCCGATCCGTGTGGATTTCAGGTATCTGTCCGTAGTATCCGACCGGAATGAGAAAGAAGCTTCCCAAGCTGGAATTCTACTAAAATGAGGCTTCTGTTTTAACGTTTAAATCGAATCTCTTGCATTAACAATGTTCTGAATATATGATTTCAGTATTGCGTACTATTTGCGTATTCTTCGCAAGATTTTTAGACATTGTATTATTACTATCCTGCTCAGGGAGGAAAACTATCGATTTTTTACTCGTGTATTTTATATGTTCGTGATTTATATTTGTACACGTGTACAGGATGATGTTATCAGTTAGTAAATTAATCAAATTTCCCGTCACATGAGATGCTAATTTATGAATCACCCTGTGCATTTGTACTCTTTAATAACACGTTCATCGATCCCGAAATTATTTTTATAATGAACTCACGAACAGTACTTATGAAATCACAGTGGAAACGTTCAGTTTATTGTCGAGGAAGGTGTATACAAAGAAATCAATTTTTGTTTTTCCTTTTACTGCCAAATGCTCTTTTCATCCGTATATCTTTTTCCATGCTAAAGACTTACGCTAAATGAGCATTTAATATTTCACAGAGTACCTATATGATTTACATTTTTGTTAGGCCAAAGTAGTAGACCAAACTAACGTTAATGTGTTAATGAAGCAAAGAACGAAAGAGAGGGAAAGAAAGAGAGAGAAAGGGCTGAGCTGATTGGATTTCGCGTGAGCAATAAAGATGTCGATAATTCTTTGTTGCAACTGGTATATGCAGGAAGATATACTTACGAATTCTCTCAAACTTTGTTCTATTCTCCAGACTGCCGTAAAATAATTTTATTCTTTTCGTGTAGGTACAAAATGTTCTCATTGTGGCACAACTCTTTTTATATTCGTTATTTATCATGTATTTTGGAAACATTTTTGAAGTCCTCTTTGACTTTTCACTCCACTTTTTCGATTCACTTTTACAAAAGAAATAAAGTGAACTTGATCAACTTAATAGTAATTTTTACATGATTTTTAATATAGAAATGAATTTGTAAAAATTAAATAATCAAAGAAAAATAGATATGTTATTGGTGTAGATTGACAAAAAATTATTTTGGTTTTTTTAATATTATTTTATTCAATATGATTGAAAAGTAGATTGAAAAGTAACTTAGGTTGGCCAGGTTTCATATAGAATTGTAATGGGAAGTTAGTCCAAAATTATTCAGTTGTTGCCAATATACTAGTTTTAACATACATAAGTATATAATATATAAATATATACATATATTAAATAATAAAAATGCTCCGAGGAGATCGATCTGATAATTAATATTGATGTCCAAATGAGATTATATTATTACAAGAATGCTACTAAGCGATTTTATCTCTTGTAGCGTTATAGTCTATCTATGTTATCTTTAAAGCAAAAAGAAAGTGGCAAACTTTTAAGAGAAAAAGAGATGAGAGAGAGAAAGAGGACATAGCTAGACAGAAGCAACTAATTTTATAAGAATTAGCTCGTTACTGCGAAAATTCATGTGATCTATCTTATCGGTGTTCGACGCTTTCTGGATACAATAGTTTTTTAACAAGAGATTTTAGCAAATGAGGTTATTAATTATTGAAGAAATTATTTAGCAGTGAATCAATCAGAGATATAAATGTTTTATTGTAGAAATTGTAAAAGTAAAATTTCATGAAATGTATTAAAAATGCCGCTCTTAATATGTATAAGATAAGTAATGAATCGTACGCATGTATATGTTAAAAAAATATACTGTACCTTAAACAAATTGATAATCTTACTGTTAATTTAAATGTTTTAAGAAGAATTCTGACATAACGAGTAAGAGCTGCTTTTGGGATAGTTGTGTCTTAATAGAGGTGATTTACAGATTTGACGATGAATTTTTAGTAAAGATAATGTGTAACAATAACGAGTAGTGCAGGTGTTCGTTAACTGTCCCACTAATATTCATTGTCAAATGAATTAATATAGGCTAAAATGAAAAAGAGTCTGCACATTTATTCTGGTGATGAGTATGATGGTACAAAGCAAGATTGTGGAAGTATTTCAATTCTTTTCATTTTGAGCATGTATACGTTGAGCAAATCAAAAGCGTACAGAGTACAGATCATAGTATCTAGTCTGTAAAAATTAAATTCTTAATTTATGAAATGTATTTCGAGTACGGATTAACACTTTGTTTATTACATTTCTAATAGATCAACAGATTGAGAGCCAGTATATCAAAGAATTTTACTATTTATCAAAATGAAATGTAATACCTACTTCGTTTTATGGGAGTGTAAATATAAATTTGTTGAATAATATTATTGGTAAGCAATGTGTTAATCGGTCACTTTGTTGTAATATTATTTTCCGTGGCTCTTCTCTCTCTTCTTTTATGCGTGTAAAAATAACGATATACACAACGATAGTGTATATTGTCTTTTTCATTAACCAGGAATTCTTACACCGATATGAAATTATATTGAACTGATTTTATTGCGTAGTATGTACAATTTAATTTCTATTTTTTTTTACAACTGTCATTATTATTTCGTGAATAGTAATATTTAAGAAATTCTGGTTGAATCGATAGATAATTGTCTATGCGTATGTACACACATATATATCTGATGTTATGTATGTAAAAATGACTAAGAATTAAGAATATGAAAGCGCTTATATCGAGTATAAAAGAAAAGAATGATTGCTGAATGAGCAATTAAGAAGGCGATGTTTCGATTGCTATAAATTACGGGTTTTATAATTTCCAATTGTTTGTTAAGTGACCTTGTAAACCGCAAAGTTTCTTTGTCAATTATTATGAGTCCGTACAATGTGTTAGTTTAGTTTAAATAAGCTAAGTTGAACAAATTGTTTTATCGTTTCGATTCATCAAAATAATTGAATTGTAACTTAATCCTTTGTGGTTATAACATTTCTAGAGACAATGCTATGAAGCATATATTATAAATTCGAATTTAAAGTAATTTCATTACGTCGTTCATTATTTGCTGATGTAATTATTTTACTCGGTGTGATGTAGCATCTCAATTGCGCTTTGTTGGAGGATAAGTTTGACAAAAATCTCTAAGAGTTAATAATTGTCATTGGCGGTGCACCTATGCCATCGCATCGTTTTTGTACATGTGTGGTAATTACTATAAATTCCGTCGGTCTTTTGCTTGCATGATCATTCATATAAAAAAAGAAAGACATCATACGATTTTAATGAAAGAAATCATAAAATGAAATAAACGTACAAAAAAAAAGAAAATAACTTATTCGAAAATGAATATAAAATCGAGTATACTGATGTTACAAAGCACACAGAGAAAAAAAGATTACATATTCGAGAAATCAAAAAGAAAAAAGAAGATATATTCATACAACACGTGAAAAATTATCACTCGTATAATGCTCTTGATTTTGATATTAATATATTTATATATATACACACACACTTGCATAAACGTATATATACATGAATATACATATTTTCTTACTCGTTTTTGAGCGAAATATTTTTAATCTCAGTTGATTTTACCATTTATTCTTTTTAAGAATGATTGTACATTGTATATTGTATGTTTCTTTAAAGAAAAGAGAGACACAAGAATTTAACTTTAACATAATTCTATGTAATATAGGATTATACAATAAGATGATAAGGCGTACTGAAAAATGAATTTTTCGCAAGTATTTCTATTGAAAAGGTCTCTCCTGCGCATTTTTGAATATAAAACGACGAATGGTATTACTTTTATCATACTTTACGAATTAACGAGCAAAGCTAGCATCTTGACATATATGCGATTTCTAAGTGTGCGTTCATTTGCAAACTTATGTATGTTATGCAAGTAAATGTTATAAAAGATGTTCAAAAAGTTCAATATACACGTAATGGAACCATTCTGACAATAAGTTATTTTCCTATTCTAATCCTAACTATTTTGAATTTTAATTATTGTCTCTATAAATTTTATTATTTATCTTTATTTTTTATTATTTAAATTAGTTTTCGTTAAGAAATTACATATATAAAATACGTTCCAGTATAAAGCTGACGAGTTGGTTTTAACAAATGGAGCTCTATAAGCACTGTGACGAATTAAGATAGCAATCACGGCCACAGAAACGCATTCACGCATACAAATTCGTTATTCGTTAATATTTCATGGCATGTAACTTTTATTAAATTTATATAGCCTGAAGATTCATTTAAATTCCTAGTACTCACTAAAACGTCCGCCATAATGTATTACACATCCTTTCTGCTATTTACTGTTTCAAATTTTAGACGTCCATCAGAAATATAGATATCAATTATTATTATATAAACACACATATATATATAAAACAATATTATATATATGAGATTGAATTCAAACGTATTTTAAATGTAATAATTTAAAAAGAATTTAAGCTAAAATTTCAAATGATAATCCAGTATATAGCAATTCTTAGTCTTTAGTAATACTTTGCTAAAGATAAATAAAGCCAACACCACAACCAAGGGAAGTCTCATAACATAATTAAGCATAATGTTTCTCGGATTTTCCTTCCCCACTATTAAATTTAAAATAGAGTTTCATTATTAAATATATTTCGCATATTCATACTATATTACAAAACATTTGAAACACAAAAAAGATAAGATTAAATCTTTGATAAAATATTCATTCTACAAGAACCTAAGTACTTTATCCTTGGTAAAAGATTAGAAAAATAAGCTTATATGTAATCAAAGATCACTTCGTAAGGTTAAAAATTACAACTTCCGTGACTATTACAATTTCCTTTTTAACTGATGATCTTACTTGGCAATATTGTTCAAATGTTTGCGTATTATAGTGGTTTTCATTCAGTGTCCTACGTGTCCAAGAAGTTTCTTAGCGTTAAAATGATCAGTAAACGTTTATTCGCTTTCTACTTAAAGCAGACCGTAGGATTCAATTAACCAGCTTTTAAAAAAGATTTTGGAATTATTAGGCGAAATGGCTAAAATAAGTAACTTTAGTCAATCACTGATTTCTACCGATTAAAGTAAGAGTATTTATCGATAAAACTTTCTCATATTTTATTTTATAGATTTATGGTCTTATGCTACTTAATTATTAGTAAAATGGCAATATAAAACAAGATTTGTTTATAATGCAAATATAAATCTAAAGCATTTCAAAGTGATAAACTAAAAGAATAACTCACAATCATTAAAGCTTACCTCATGCGTTTAAATTTTAATCTCCTTGAACTGGTACGTCGTATGTACATAATGTGTAAGTACATATACATACAAGTATATATATGTAAGGCACATGCGTACAAGGTAAAGCAAGGCATTCAAGTTAAACTAGTCGTTCGAAGATATATCAAAACTGATTTCGCATTACAAGAAAAAATTAAGCATAACTTTTAATTTATTGGGTCTCTTTTTTATAAAATTTTTTCATATTTTTGAAAATCCTAATTTTCTTCTCATTTCTTAATGTATATTCTTCAAGAATAAAATCTTAATTTTTCTATTATCATTTAGATTATATGACATGATTTATTCGTTAATTTAAATAATTTTTTTTTAAATTTAGATTCTCCACATTTCTGCATATCAAAAGCTATAAATATAATCTAATTCCTTTATCTTTAACAAATCTATATTCTCCGTCAGCAGTATATACACTTAAAGGAAGTGCAACACATGCAGTTAAAATTTGGGCCAGCCTGATCGTCGTCGAAAAGCGAAGCTCTATAAAAAGAACGCGCATTCAGATGAAAAAAGACGAATGACCGGAAAGAAGGTAAAAAGGAAAGATAAAAAACGGCCCAGAGAAAAGCACGAGCTCGACACTCGTTGAAAAAAGAGAGACACAGAGATACAAGGAGAAAGTGAGAAAAAGTATAGGAAGGGTTGGAAGGAGGGAGCACAGGTGCGGCTGCTACGTCCGGACCGCCTCTAAGTGTAATGTTGTCCGCCGCGCAGTGAGGTGAAGTCCTCTTTTCCATTTTGTTCCAGCCTGCCATGATATTTCGAGCATCCAGTGACTCGTTTAGGTGTCTTGTTCCTTCAACAGGTTGTCTCTCCACGTTGCTGGCCAACGGAACTTCCCGCTACTTCAATCCAGTTTAAATTGTTGATACAGTTACAGTTTATATTCTTTTACTGAAGAATTTGTTAATGTTAACGTAACTTTGAAAGTTTGTTGAAACTATTAAGGTGAAATTCAAGTTTAAAAAGGGGACCAGGGAAAGATGAAAACAAAGAGATTCCTTTAGTGATTTCTGAAACGAATTCACCGGTGAACTCGGGTGAATCACGATCTCATCCCTCCTCCTCCACCTCTTTCTCATCTTTCTGTACCTCCTGTTGCTTCGAGCGGTGAGTACCAATGTTGCTTAAATAATTGTTTATTTTTGGACCGGCGAGACATCGTCCCTGAATTGTATCGTTAATTCCTGCACTTGCGAAATAGTGAAATTAACAATTCCTTTCCCCCTTTTTCTTGTCTTTTATTAGGAAATGATAATGAAAATGACTATATCATATGTAGGTAACTTCTGTACAATGATATTAATTAAAATTATAATATAGAAATCATAACTCACTTTTTAATTAAAATGGGTGATTTGAAAGTTTAAGTAATTAATGAAGTTTAATTATTATAATCAGTATAAAAATAAAATGAAATTTAATTACTGATACAAATAGATACAGATATGTAAAACAAACATTTAACAACGTAAAACTAGAGAAGTTTTAGCATAACAATATTTTGTAGTCAGTATCACCTGTTGCGTGGGCAAGCATGTTTGACGTTTTACGAGTATGACTCGACGACCTACTTCGCTTCTAACTTTGATGCGGTACAGTTCGATCTATCGTAATAAAATAAAAGTTATCTTGCATGAGATATCATCAACCTATAAATATTCTTCCTTCTAATATTCTTCCATTATTTTAATAGTATTAGAAAAAATTTTGTATTATCTATTGTGGAAATAGATACACTTTTACGTAATAATATGATATAATAACTATTGCAATGTGTCTTTTATCGTGACTACCATTTAACATACTCATAAATACTAATAAACAATTAATACTAATCATATTATTTTTAACAATTGTATTCTATGTACATAATTCCATTCTGTAACATATATGACTTGTGTCCTATTTGAAGTACAATTGCACCTTTGATTAACTTACATGTTTGATAAATACATTGATAAATATAGTACAAATATGTACAATATTGCGTGTATCGAGTACTTTTCAAAGCGTACACGTTAGTTCGCTCTAACTTCACTTCTTTCGCAGTGTTATCGTTATTGAATGTCTATCCAATGAAAATGTATTCATCACACGTTCTATCGTTACATGCTCATGCGTCGGCTTTTCATTTGAATCATTCTTAATCCATTCAAAACACGAATCAAAAGCATTTCCTCTATCTCTATTTATTCCTGTCCCGGTAGTTAATTCATTTTCGTGCTCTAATTTTCTTCTTTTCAATTTGTAATCTTCAGGACATGTATCTGCGCTGACGAAACGTTTTCTCAAGTTTTTATCTAACTGTTTATCTTCAATAGTGCTGGATCCGCCAGAATTTTGTTTTGAAACACGATCCTTTTCTTTACACACCTTTATTTCGTCATCGTTCTTTAAAACTTTCGAAGAACTAGACTCGCACCTTTGTTCATCTTTATGTTTATTATTGCAGGGATTGATATTAATTATTTTTGGTTTAGTAGATTGATAAATATTATTTTGCGAGCTACAAGATATCATTTTCAAAGATATCACTGTTCCGTCTAACTTGTATTTATCCAGCAAAGACTGCGCTATCGCGTGTTGACTTAACTGTATCATACGTGAATTATCTTTCGCGGTTTTCGCCGTATTCTTTGCGTTACTTTGAATACCGCTCTTTACTGACTGGTGAACTTTTTTAAGAGAAATTTTTTCTGCTAATAACCATTCTTTCTTGTTTAGCGAAAACTTACCATCCCATTGCTTGATACACTCTACATCATTATCCGTATTCACAGCAATTTTTTTACTGACGGATTTTAATAATTTATGTTCTATTTCTGAGCTATTTTTTGGTTCTTCCTTAACTTGTGGAATTATACCCGATTGTTCCGTAAATTTTGAAACTGTATTCGATCGCTTTTCGGCTATTGTTTGTTGTTTCTTCACATCCTCATTAATATCGCAGCTACGAATTGAAAGCTATTTGTAAGTTATTATAAGATTTGAAGATTGAGTATTAATGATACTTACATATTGTATTTTATTCCTTCAAGGCTTTCTGAATATGCAATAAACTTATGTACCCTGATTTTTACTATTTCTTCGTTTTTACAAACGTCACAATTCGTTTTGCAAGATGCTATTATGTGCCCGAAGTATTGATTAACAGCTACATGCCGACACCTAAGCCAAATTTTATTATCTAATTTTGTAAAATTGTGGAAAAGAAATGTTTAGACGAATTTAAACTCCTTACATTATTAAAAGACAGTAAGAGACAAATTTGTCATATTCACTTAATCGTTTCCGAATATGTTCTATATCGTTCATTATTTTACGATTTTCAATAACGTGTTTCACAGAAGAATGTTCTTTCATACTAAAATATATTCTACAATATGTATAATCATTCTCTGAATGTATCTGTGTACATTCTCTATAATACTTGGCAATATTTTCAGGTATTGTCCAATGAACTATGCACCTGATTAAATATTTTATAAATTATATGGAATTATATATTAATAATAAATATCATTTCTTTTATTGTGATATATGTAAACCTGATTGATTTCTTATGTATAAATCCATAATCATACGTTGTAATGATAACATGAATTTTCTCAGATTCCCATTCACTTTCAATAATATGTCGGATACTCTTTTTTAATCCTAAAATATATCGTAACCATGAAATCTGAGATTCATACATATAAAGATTAATAATTAATCTATAATTTTCTTACCATGGTGACAGACAAGCGTAGATATTCCTAGAGCACTTAACTTATTTTGTAACAACTCTGCAGTAGCTATTTCTCGACAGTAAATAATGCCAAAACCTTCATCTATCTGAATACAGATAATCTTGATAAATATTTACGTTATAGACCCATAAAAGAACAAATAGATTTACCTTATGAGCAGATGAATTAAAAAGACCAAGTACTCCTACAATAAAAGTTTTAAGATGTTCAAAGGGATCAGAAAGTAAATCTAAAAACCACACATCAAGGTGTACATTAATTTGCTGTATAGGTATTTTAAAAACTTTTGGGTCTTCTAATGTTAAAAATTTGCAAATATCTGTGGTTACCTGTTGAAATATTTAATTAAGAACAATCAAATATTTGCTGTAAATAATTCAAATTATTCCTTTAATACCTTATCAGTAACAGTTGTAGTTACTGCAATTTTAGGAACAAATTTTAGTTTGTCATTAAATGCATTTATATCTTTGTAACCGGGTTTAAAGTCATATCCCCATTCACTTAAGCAATGACTTTCATTAAATACAATATAAGACAATAAGTTACGCTCTTGTAATAAAATGACAAGTTTCTGTTAATAAATTGTCAAGTTAATTGAAAGTTAATCTTACATTGTAAAGTTAAAGTTTTAAAATACTTTACCTTAAAATAGGTTAAAGTATTCATTTCAGTAGTTACATATAATAATACTATTTTTGGAGATACTGATGTCAAATCTTTTAAAATATTATACCTTTCTTTTTCTTTGGAGCTCCTAGATAGCAAACCAACATTAATGTGTTTGCCTCTTAAGAAATCTATTTCTTTCTGAAAATACATGATTATTTAGTACACATTAGAAAAATTAATTAATCCAGTTTATTCAATTAACGTTTTTTAAGTATCAGAAATGTTACCTTCATAGAAGATAATTTGGGAGAAAAAATAATTCCAACTTTTTTTTGTATAAGTGCTGGTAATTGATAGCAAAGAGATCTACCAAACCCAGGAGGCATAGATATAAATACATATTTTGCACCTACAAATTTACATCGTACTTTTTAATCTGTTTCTTTAAATTAAATTTTGCAATATTAACAATTATAGTGGAACAGTATTTTCGTGTCTTTACACCATATTTTCATATATATTAAAAGCATTATATACATTTAATACAGTTCTTAATAGACTTAACAATTAACGCATAACACAAATTTTTATATTAAAAAATACTCACCTTCGCAAATAGAAATAATGGCATTTCTTTGAATGTTGTTTTTAAAATTTTCGTAGCCGAAAACATTTTTCATAACACTCATTACATGACCTTCACAATTACTCATTTGCACAAGTTTCATTAAAGTATAATATTCAATTTTTGTCTACGTAGAATTATTATGTGTAAAAACATTCAAAACATATCTCGTACGCTTGATCACAAGAAACTAACCTTACTGGTCGAGTGTAGTGTTAGATTTAAAATTCATTTTGCTTCGGCCAATCAGAAGATGCAATTTTAAATATCTTTTACGCGGCAATATTTAAAATAAAATTTTTTATTACAGGTATCAAAATATTGAGACATTAAATGAAATGGACTACAGTTATAGTGTTTGAAAAAAATAATAGATGAAAAAGATATAATGTCTTTAGCTTAACAACTTTTATTGTATTGACAAATGAACCTATACGTATGTAAGACTGGCATTAGATAAGATTGGTATCGATATGTTGAATATATGATTTATTTATTCATTTTAGATGCATAATGAAGAAATTTTATGCAATATTTTTTTTAATATGCACATCCACCGCTGACTTTTCCAATGTTTGCGACCCTAATTGGCATTCGTTAGAAACGTTAGAAACCGCCAAAGTGGAGTGTGGACCATCTTTTGAAAATCGTTGCTATTGCATGAGGACATGCTACGAGAATCACCATCAGTATGTCGTTAATTGTACTGAATCAGGATTTCATAACGCGGCGCCGTTATCGCACTTGCCGAACGACACACAAGTAAGATCATTGTACTAAAGATTAATATTTGTATTAGTTATAAATAAACTACGAATTTTTACGTATTTATGAGAAATTTAAAACTACAATAATGCATAGAATCCACATAGCGTGCAAAAATATAAAAGATATCTAAAGTATATTACTTTTCATAACGTGTAAAGGGCAAAACAATTTTATAGCTAGGCCCCATTGTTTTAATTATATTTATAAAGATATGAATTTGCATAAATATTCGCGGTCTAGTTATAAAATTTGACAAACCAATTGATATATTTGTGCTATTTTTAGGTGCTTATTTTTACTGGGAACAATCTCGGAGAGCTTCCATGGAACGTATTCGGCACACTGGATAGTTTGCCTCACTTAAGAGTGATAGATATGTCTAACAATAAAATAAGAGAAATTCGAGGGAAGGCATACCATCACGTCCAACACGTCGAACGACTTATTTTAGATTTCAACGAATTATCGTTGGATCCTGCAAGAAGTCATCCCAGGGTTTTCTCTAATTTCGTCTCCCTCTTGGAACTCCATTTAACTGACGCCTTCGAAGATGGTCCACCGAGAGATCTTGCAGCAACACTGCATGATATTTTTGTCAATAGGTATCGGATTCATAAATTCCAGTTTCTTTAATTTTAATTCCCCAATCGATAAATTTATGAATTGTTAATAATGTCGTTTTGTAATTATTGTAGTAATTTAACGCAACTGATAAAGCTGCATTTGGAACAAAATGAAATATCAGAATTTCGGGACAGTAATGTATTCTGCGATCTCCCGAATCTTTTGGACCTTTATCTCGGCGATAATGCACTTACCGCTTTGCATTTTAATATATCCTGTCTCCACAAATTACGTTTCTTGGATCTTCAACGAAATAAGTTCACAAAAGTGGTCGATCATGATCTGCACGCTATGGACACGCTTATCAAGCATAATCAAAGCATAGCTGTAGATTTCACTGGAAATCCGTTTGTGTGTTCGTGCAAATTAAATCCCTTTATAAAGTGGATGAGGAAGACAAAAGTGTTCGTTCGTAACAAAGACAATTTGAAATGTTTTGAAGGTACTTGTATTAGATAAAAATTATCTTTTTGCCAAACACGATATGAAATTAAATGTAATTTACTTTTATAGGTGAAATACATCATGAAATACACGAAACAAAGAACTGTACGCCGAAATTGTTCTCATCAACTCCACGCGGTGCAACTGTTCTGCTCTTTTTCCTCTGTATAGTGTTAATAGGACTGGTGTGCGCTTTAATTTATGTACAACGCACGAAACTACAAAAGAAAATTGAGCCTATATTAGATTCGGTGAACAAGAGGGTACGATACACCTCGATAGCAACTGGTGATACTCGAGAAGATTTATGAATGAAATGAAAAGGTTCTTCGATTAAGAACTAACAAAGAAGAGATTTAACGCTAATTAAACTCGCTCTTCGGTTAAAATAATCAATCATTTTTAAACTCTCGAGAAGTTCCATTCTTTTTTATTATATAACACACAAATACACAATTTCGTTTTTGTCATAAGTAATTTAAAATATAATAAGGTATGTTTAACAATATAATGAGGCATTCATATTTATAATGCAATATGTGGTGATTAATTTAGAAGTAAAGAAAAAGGATAGAACCATCACTGAATATTCTTACAAGCTATTTGTTACGACATTAACACGCTGAATTTATTGACTTAATAATTATAAACGAAGAACATGTAATTTTGATATTGTTATTGACTCGAGTATATCTAGTACCGAATAAATGTTATATATATTTATATTTAAATGTATATTCACTGACCTTATTAAATTTCTCCTTACTTGTGGATTGATCGATTGAATGTTTTCAACGGAAAATGCATACATACACATAATATTCTTAGGTTTGCTATTCCTTATCGTTGGCTATCAGACCATTGACATCTTAAGCAAGATTAGATAATATTTCAGAAACGCCTGAATGTTCATTGTATGCGTCGAAATTACTCTTGCATTTCAACTGTATCCGTTTGACTGAATTGTTTGTTTTTTATGTGATAAATAATGTCATCAGCTAAACGTCTTCGTCTCGATGAAGTCTTCACGTCATTTCCAGAGCTGGGTCCTACAGTTCCAGACGGTGGTTACGCATGGATTGTTCTCTGTGGAGTATTTTTAGTCCAGGTTAGTAATCTGATTATAACAATATATTTTTTCAGTTTTTTTTTAAATTGAATAGTTCTCGATACTATGTGTTACTTATACAGGGTATTTAGAACATTCACATTCAATAATTTATGCCCATAATATTAAATATATTATTTTACGTAAAATAATCTTAAAGATGTTCATAGAAATACGCAAGATTCGTAAAACGATCAAGTTTAAATAATCTATTTACAGGTACATATTATAACATGATCATCTTAAGAACCGTAGTATCGGTCGACATTTTTCAAAAGATTAAAATGAATCTTTATCGTTTTATTATGAATTCTTGTAAATATTATCATTTTAGAAAATTAGGTAAGTACAAAATCTTTCGTGTTATCAATCTAATTTCTAAACACCCTGTATAATAAATTAATTTATACATTTTTCTTTTCGACCTTCTCGTTCTTTACTCTGCGATCGAAATTGTATTATTATCTTTATAGATGACTGTTCCAAGTATACTAGCAATGTATGGAATAGTTCTGGCATATATTCATGAAACTAAATCTACTGATTTTGATTTATGGAATGAAAAAATTATTTTGACGCCTATACTATTTATTGCATTTTGGAATCTAGCGGGTATATACACAGTTTAGTAACTTGTAATTTTCATACAATTATTACTAATCCATTCAACTTTTTCTAGATCCTTGGACAAAAATGATCGTGAGTATGGCGCCGATACCCCGTTTAGTAGGCATAATAGGAGTACTTCTCCTAATGGTTGGCATTATAGCATCTGGATATCTTGCAACTGGCGGGGTTGGTGCTTATTTGGCCAGCACCAGTGCTGGTGCAGTAATGGGTATAGGCGCCAGTTTTATTATGCTATTGAGTGACTATGTTTTGAGGAAGTATTTCAGAAAGAAGCTCCTTATAGCTCTGATGTTAAGAAATATTGGAGTTTCTTTTGGTCTTCTGTTTATCCCGAGTATCACAAATCTGTTGTTGCATGAAGCTAAATTGAAAACTGGTTTACAACTGATAACCATGGTTTTATTGCCTACTGCATTTGGAATATTGACTTTTCGGTTTCCTCCTCCACAGCAAATTTCTCCTTATAGGTTCTTGTTTAGAATATCTTAAATAATAATTAATAAGAAATAAAGCTTTCAATATTTAACATACAAAAAATTATTTCGTTACAGTCTACTCTTATCAACTGAAGAAGACACTGAACTTCCTATAAAAATCTCCTTTGATGCTCCTGAGAATTCACAACATCCAGATGGTCAAGATGATATAGAAAATTTTGAATATGGTCAACCTGATGAAAAGACACATGGAGGAGGGTTACTAAATGACGGAAATAATATTTATGCTTATGAAGATTTGGATGAAGATGTGGACTTATTTGTAAATCCAGTGATTCATTTGGATAAGAAATGGCAGCATCAATTTCAAATTCTGAAGAACTTCCGATTTTGGGCTGCAACAATTGGCTGGGTTGGGATGAAAGTATCTACTCTCTTTTTCTGGCTTCTGTTACCCATTTTGTCTTATGAAAATACAAATAATTCCCATTTCTGGATGTTTCTATCCATCATGGCTGGTTTCAGTACCCTCCTACCAAATCTTGTTAGTTACAAAGTATTGACATTTACAAGTCAGAATAGAAGACTATACTTTGGCATAGCATCTTGGTTTTGTGGTATCAATTTAATAGGTAAATAATTTCTTCCTGTAAGATATTTTTGTAATTATTGAAAAGTGAGTTTTAATGAATTTGTGTTCTGAAAAAAAGACGTTTCTAGGTTTAACTTATGCAAGTAGTTACTTGTGGATGATGATTTTTACCTTCCTGGGTGGTGCCAGTATTGGCAGTTTATCAAGTTGTCAAGACTTGGCATTGTATGATGTTCTTGGATCTGAAATGGTTCGTTCTATTTATAAAGTATTTTCAACTATCGTGGGTTTATGCATTCTTGGTTTTTATTTTATACATGGTAAGTTTTTGTAACAAAATTTTATTTCGGTAAAAGAAGTTACAAATGTAGGGGTGATCAATAAAACTTATCATGTAGAAATGAACTTCTGATTACAGACACAAATCTCTGTTTGAGTTTCGCGGCGCTTTTACAATTTCTTGGTGGATTTTACTGGATCTCGTCGCCTACTTTGAACTTAATTAAAGCCACTCGTTACAGATCTCGCGTGATGAACAGAGAAAGCAGAGACGAGACGTGATTAAAATAATATTCTATGGAATTAATATACATATATTTAGGAATTATTGATTTTACGTTACATCCTAATTTAACGATATTTACAAAAGTATTTATATTGATCACAACAATCTGTTTTCTCTGAATTCATCTAAAAATAAAAATAGTGTATATATAAAATCGTAAAAATAGACATTTCTCGGAAAATAAAAAATAGGCATAGAATATTGTCTAATATAAAAGATATAAATACGATTCCACTTGACGATATCGCATGAATGATTTTTTAAATAGATTTCTGTTGTTATTTGTTATGAGCGTATATTTATATGTGTATGTATGTGTATACATAAACATATACGTATAGACGAATAAAATATGCATTTCTTAATGTATGATGATACTCTATACTAATAAAAAAAAAGTATGCTACGTTTGTTTCTAAATTACTTACAAATATATTCTTGCACATATACGAAATAAATTGTCCTTAAAATAAGAAGTGGTAAACATATATAAATACCGCGTAGATATGTCTCTTCACAAAATGCAAAGAAACAAAAAAGGACAAATCTTTTAGTATTAATGATCATTTGAATGTATATCATATGCATGTTTTGAGATCGTGAAACCGGCTTCTCATTGCTTAAACAGACTTACACAACGATTTTGTACCTTATTTGCCAATTTACATTATAAATGATCTAATTTACAAGACACGATAGATATCTTAGACATACTGGATATTTTTAACTCCATTATTGCATCTCTAGGTTCCAACATTTTTTGTATATAAAGATAAAAGAAAATAAACTATATTATTAAATTTTGTAATGCATGCTTCTTCCAAGGCACTACAAGGCATGCTCGTATGCAAAAGTAATCAACTATCATTTTATTTCTTCCAGTAAAATTTGATACGTTAAGTAATAAATTTTGTACAATTCTTGTAAATATCACAAATCCTTTTGTACAATTTTGATACGTCCTATTCCTATCTAGATTGTATCATTATCTTTTCGATCATAAACAATAAAAAAGCACTGAATTTACTATTAAATAAGTTTTTTTAAGATTGTTTACGGCACAATTACTTATTTCAAATTGTTATTCATATTAATAATATTGCATCAGATGTTCTATCATATAAGTTTCAGTAAACATCATATTACGAAAAGAGACAGCCTAACACGTTCAGGATAAACAATCACTATGAATATACGATTTTATAAATAAAATATCCATTTGACTATTCGCAGCATTATTATAAAACTATGTACATGCATATACTGAGCAATCAAAATACATTTGTATTTTTTAAATGAAAATACTTATGCTTTTATGAGGTTTTTTAAGGTTTTCTGAAGATTTTCTTAAGACTCAGATTAATAACATGTGAAAATTTTAAAGGTATCAACAGACTAATCATTCAAAATGATAAGATTCTTAAAATCTGCTTCTTTAAGTTACATCAAAGACATATAATATTAAAGTTTTAAACCTGCATGATTCAGCCTGAGATCTAAGATAAATTTACATTTCACCAAGTTCTGGGTCCTTATCTTTCAAACTACTAGGTCCTGCATTGTCCGACGATTTCGAGCAGAAACCATTTGGCATTCGACTGTACTGTTTATAACCGCTAACCGGTCTTGGATTATCTAACTGATCGTATTCTGATTCGTCGTTATTTTGCTTGATTTCATCGTAAACATGTTCGATCTTTTTCCCATCCATTTCGTCGATGCTATGGTACACATTAAGGTTTGGATTTCCCATATCTGCATCTCTGTTCTTTAGATCATATCGAAGTGATCCTAACGGCAGTCAAAGAAAACATAAGATCATTTTACAGAACTTACAATTTGGTGTACTATGCTACTGCCAACAATACCTTTGCAATCATCCTCATCATCCGTACAGCTGTTCATTCCAAGTTTAGCTTTCTCATTATTTATCTTCTTGCTTGTTCCAAGATTATTTCTGAATTGGAAGTTATTCAATAAAGTAGCTGTTCCATCATCGAATTTTGAAGAGCCTTGATAGGCATACACGGGGTTATCAAACTGAGTTTGCTCTATATAAAAGATATCATTGTTGATTATAAGTATTTTATAATCCATAAATAATGATTATAAATAACAGATTTGTTTGAAATAAATACCTGGAGGAGAAGCAGGTTCAGCGATATATTGCACTTGTGCAATTTCGTTCTTCAAATCTGCTACTCTGCGTCGATGATATACCCATCCTGCGAATATCATTACAATAACAATAATTACAGCAAATAAAAATCCTGCTACCATAACGCCATAGCCGGTTTCATCCCTCTCTTGAATGTTACGTGAAAATAATTCTTCGTCACAATTTGGACCTAAAATTGAATATATTCCAGTATTAGTTAAGATATATTAATACTGACAGATTTGAAATAATATACCTGTGTATCCATGTCTGCAGACACAACCTTCAACAGGATGACAAATATAGAAATCATTCTTACAGTCACATGGTTCCATACAGTGATCGCCATAATACCCTTCTGGGCAGACTAGATTTAAGAATACGAAAAACATTTATGTTATATTTATTTTGTTAGCCTCTCTCGATATTATCTGTATAATTTTTTTTCACGTACTCTCAGTACATTTGGTACCAGTCCAACCAGGTGCACAACGGCAATGACCATCATTAGATCTGCATTTTCCTCCGTGCTGACATGTACAATGTTGACTACAGTTCATGCCATATGTCCCGTCTGGACAGGGTGTTTGGCAGAATTCGCCTTGCCAACCAGGTCGACATTGACACACGCCTAAAATGGTATGCATGTAAAAGAAGCCATTAATTCGTTTCATATAATATCTAGTATGAACCCTACATTATGTACCTAATATAACTGATGATGCAATATCTTGCAAAATAGAGCTATTAGGACTAAAAAACTTATGAATTTGTAAATATTATTTTGTAATAAAATTCTAGATTCGAATAAATTGCGAAAGAGGTAAGTAAAATTTTACCTGTAACGTGATGACACTCGCCACCGTTTTTACAGCGGCAATGACTAGCACAATTTAATCCATAACGATTAGGTGGACAAGGATGCTCACATGTTAACCCTAAGTATCCAGGTCGGCAAACATATTCACCAGAGACATGATCACATGTCATGTTTCCTAAAAGATAAATTCTACGATTATTATTTCGAATAAATAGTTCTAGCTTTATTTATTAGTACCTTGTTTTAGTTTGTGTGAAGAGTGTTACAGTAACAGTTAAATGAATTGACAACTTACCACTTTTATTGAAGTGTTTGAATAAGGGTATACAAATAAAAATGACTATATTTTTCATATCAATGATCAAAGCATTAGTTTGTTGTTTTCGTGCTTATCATGAACATGCTGAAGTACTACTACATATGATACAATACCATATAATCTAAAGTATAAAAATGTACTAGAAACTACAGACTACAAATGTTAACGATAGTTATTTTCTAGCAGAACTGCGAAAGCTTGATTTATTTCATCTTCACCTAAAATTGTTATTTTTACCTTGTATTTTTTCTGGACACTTTTCCTTGCAACGCACGCCATACCACCCTTCTTTACAGGGTTGAGAACAATCAATTCCTTCCCAACCTCTGGCACAAATGCAAGTGCCTGTTTCTGGATCACATGAACTATTGTTCATACACTCACATTGTGAATGACAGTCATCACCATAAAGGCCTTCTGGACACTTGGTTTCACAACGGATTCCTGTTTCATGTCATTAAAAATGAAAATTTTATCGAGGACCAAATCGCCATCAAACAACTAGTTTTCCAGTCTTTCTCAATAATTTCAATTTCTTTTCAAAAATTCTACGTTAAAATACGTGGTACATTAAACGAATGGACAGGAAACCTACTTAGTAGTTCAAAATTTCTGTTTTGTACATTATATGGTAGATATGAATAATGATGTAAGGAAGATATTAAAATGGTACCACAAGGAAAGGATAATTGTTGCAGTTTTTCAAATGTATGGCGATTGATCGACGAATTAAAAGAAGAAACAAACCTCGCCATTCTGGCTTACAGATGCAACGACCCGTGGCAGGATCACAGCCTAAACTATTTTCCTTGTGACAATCGCAGACCTGAGTACATCCCAGCCCGAAAAATCCTTTTTCACAATGATCTTGGCAAAATTCGCCGGTGAAGCCAGCTGCACACGTGCATGTGCCTGCAGGTGTTTAAAAAAGGTAACGTGTTTTGGTGCAAGTGCAACGAAATGAAAATGGAGACAAAGAATTAAGAAACGCGAGTCTCAAAATGTATGAAACTAAATTACATAAGAATAAAAAGATATGGAAATACAAACATCGAGAAATAAAAGAAACCATCTAATCATGGATCTATACAAATTAATGCGTTTTTTGTTAATGATTTGAAGCATTAACTTTCTCTAGAACTAAAAGAAATCGTTGCAACCAGCCCCCTTACCATTTTGTGGATTGCAGGCAGCATTGTTAAAGCATTTGCATTTGTCCTCGCAGTCCTTGCCAAAAGACTTGTCGTCGCAGGGACGATCACACGAAACACCAACCCATCCTAGCAAAATGTAATAACAATACATGCAGGAACAAAATTGAATGTAACATAAGAAACAAGAAAACATTCTAAAGAAGACTTCTAAACTGAATAATTCTCACTAAATACGAATTACTTACCTTACTATTATTTTGATAAATTAATTACAAATAATAACTCTACAACTATATATTTAAAACAAAAATCCACAAATTTGCGAAAATGGCATACTATCAAAAACTACAGTTAGTAATTGTTCATGCAATTCATACGGTCATACAATTAAAGAATGAATTAACTTGAAGCAAACAACATAAAATAAAGATACAAAAATACTAAATTATACAATTACAAAATGCTTATCATTTTAAAGATACTTCCTTTGATTGTTTTTTAATCACTCTCGCATGATTAAATGATAAATTACATCTTTTACTTTTGGTTAAGAATTATTCAATTTTTGTATATTAATTCGTATTAATTGATTAACTTTTGTGTTCGTAATAGTGTAACTTATTACCTGCTGTACAGTTGCATCGGCCATTCTCGGGTAAACAAGTGGCACCATTTTTGCAGATACACTTTTGTGCACAATTTTCGCCATAAGTGTTGTCAGGACATATTTCACTACAGTCCTCACCTCTGTATCCTGGCGCACAAATGCAAGTTCCATTTATGGGTGAACACTGCGCGTTGTTCTTGCAATTACAACGATTTTGACAGCCTTTCCCGTACATATAAAACGGACAAGGTCTGGTACAAGTATCGCCATCCCATCCTGGTTTACAAATACACTTTCCAGTCCACGGATGACACATTTCTGTATTGTCATTCTCACACTCGCAAACCTAGCAACGTTTATAAATATAGTATTTATTTTATAATATTAAAAAGACATTGCAGAAAAGTGAATATCGCATTATCTATATTATTACATACTTTTGTACAGTTGGGTCCCCAGAATTCATTCTGACAAACACGCTTATTGCATTTTTCACCCATCCAACCGGGACTGCAAGTACAAGTTCCATCAATCGGTGAACAAATTGCACCATTTTCGCAGCTACAGTTGCTTGTACAATTTAAACCGAACGTTCCTCCGGTGCAAATTTTTAAACACTGTAAAAGATTTTTATTTTCAAAATTATTTGTTATTTGTATTTAACACATTAAGTAACATATATACTAAAATATCAATAATTAATAAGAATAATTAAGTATTTCTGAAAGAGTGGTCACCTTTTCATCATAATAACCGGGTTTACATTCACATTCTCCAGTGATATGATGGCATCCAGCACCATTGTAACAATCACACTCTTGAGAACAGTTTTTACCCCAGAAACCTTCCGGACACCGGTTCGCACAGACTGAACCCTATTTTAAAATAAAATCTATTTTAGATCATGCATGGACACGATTACAATAAAATCTCGTAAAATATCAATCAATATTTACAGTCCATCCAGGTGTACAATAACATTCGCCGGTTGTAGGATTGCAAGAACCACCATTCTGACACTTGCATTCTGATTTGCATTCATCGCCGTGTTTTCCCGGCGGACACAAATCGTCGCAACTAAAAAAGAATTATTAAAGCGATTTAAAAATTGTGTTCTAATATTTTACATTTCATTACATTTCAATAATAAAATAAATAGATCAACTAACAGGGGTCCTGTGTAACCAGGAGCACAATGGCACTCGCCAGAAATGTGGTGACAGCTTCCACCGTTTCTGCAACGGCACTCTTCACCACAATCTTGACCATATCGATCGGGAGGACATTCTTGGCTACAGTATTTACCGGTCCAGCCTCTGTTACACAAGCATTTGCCGTCGAATGGGTCACAAGTGGCTCCGTTCTGGCACATGCAATCCATTTCGCAAGATTTGCCCCATTTTCCAGATGGACACTCTGTTAAGTTACAAATATACTTGTATTTACTATGAGTAAGTAAAAGAAACAATTACTTAAATCTTTTTGATTTTGATTTGATTGATTGATTTTAAGAAAGTATCTTGAATCGTACTCAGTATTTAAAGTAACAAAAATAGAAATTGAATAGTTAAAAAAATGAGAATTTTTATTCTTTCACAAACAGTTCTATAACTAATTTCTAGACAATGAAAACTGAATACTGCACCAAGAATAAAAGATAAGGTGAAAGTATTTTCTGAAGATGTCTGGTTTGAGTATTTCAATGATTTTAAGGAATATGTTAGATAAATAACAAAATCTAATACTTACTATAATCGCATAACGGACCCCCATATCCTGACTCACACTTGCAGACGTCTGGTGCAATGCAAGTGCCATGAACACAGTCCTTGGAACAGATTGGAATGCAACGATTGTCATCATTGGTCTTTGTGTAGCCTTTGCAACACTCTTCTACTGGTCTCTGTTTTGTTATTTCCTAATCGAACAACGTTAAAACGTTAATTTTTCGAAAATTTTTAATTAGCTCTTAATTAATTAGTACCTTCTACATATTTAATACTATTCTATTCACCTGTTCCTTGAATATCGTCTTGAATACCACCCTATATTTGGAGCATCTTGGCGGAAAGCTTAAGCACCAAGTGTTCTCTCGTACAGTATAAGGTTTCTGCTCCGATATCCTCACCGTTATCGTATACCTAACATCAACCAAGTATTAAAAACAAGCACTGAGTCGTGAAAACAGAATAGGTAGCATCGGAAGGTTGACAATTAAAATAAAACTGATCTTCTAAATCTATTATAATTTTGCTCTTGAAAAACTTTATTTAATAGACTTCTCAATAAATTAAATTTTAATTTAGAAAAAAAATTTTTTATTTTAATTTAGTTGGAAAACTTAAAAAGATATGTAAGAATTTACTTTTACGGACTTTTACTAAAAGATCATGAACGATGATAATAATTATTGTTTTAATAAATTATGAAGGAAAACAAAGTATGTAGTGATTATTCTTTTATAGATATGGCCTTGAATTTTTATTAGAAATCCATTGTTTTGCTAAATATCTTCTCGAATAAAGATCAGCATCTTCTGATAACGATTTGAGAAAATAAGTTAAGTAGATAATCGTTTATCATTTTATTTAATATCGTTAATCATTGCACTTTCATAAATCTTTAATAAATCTAATCCACTTACGTTTCTTGCCTGGTACATATGTTTGGCCCTTCCAAACCGTACACCGTTCCCAAAACTGTAATAGCAGCTAACAAATAGATGGATAGAGCCATCCTGACTTATGATTTTTGATATAATAAACAGTTATGTCTACAGATTCGCGCGTATATCACATTGCTTCAATATCCCTCAATGTTTTTGAGTATTATATTCCTTCCTTCCTTCAGACGATTTTCATGCATTCCAGATAGTCAACATGTTTTTGAGTCTGGAAATACAAACGTACTTTTAATAAAATACTTTTTTGACAAACATATTATTAATAACAAATTCTATTAAATACTGCTTTGTCAAATCATATGAAACAGAAGGAAACAAAAATAGTGAACGTAATGAAATTTTTGCCAGAAATACCGAGAGCAATAACGTTACAGCTGTCTGGTGTTAAACTAATCGATTGCGAACATTATTCATTCTTTGAAGAAGTGAAAAAGCATTGAAAATGACAAGAGATAAAAAATGGTTTTAAGACTCGTTTGTCACGTAAATATTCAGAGAAATTCTTCGTGACTTTAGACTCTGTACCGTGAGTTACAATATCGCAATTTATCCATTTTAATTCCACGTACCGGTCACGATTTGCGACAAATTGCATATTTATCAACTATGGAAATGACTCCGTAAAGGGATCTGTTCGTCGAATAAGAATCTTCTTCCGCTTTCTCTTATTAGGAGGATCCAAAGATCAATCGATAACGGAACTTATATTTCTGAGCGATGGAGATCCATGCAGGACTATACGTGCCACTTCACCTAGAACCTGGGTTCTAAATTATGAAGCACTTAACGTGTTTGTCATCATCTATGTTTTACATAATATGGATCTCGAAAAATATATTTTACACGAGTCTATAATTCAGTTGCAGTTGTTAATGGAATGTAAATAATAACAGTATCAGAGTAGTAAGATGCTCATTGCAGATTCATATCTCTTCTACGTGTACAGATATTATATTTAAAATGTTTTAGATGTGTGTATTATCTACATTTTTTTTTAAATCTTCTAAAAATGTATAAACATCCATAATCTACTAATGATAGAAGAAATTTCTTTCATAACTCTCCATCGAACACTGAAAATACTACAAGAAATATCAATATGTATCGCCCGGAACTTGTATTTAAAGATCCCCGAAAGAGAAACTCTTGTTTACATTTTTTCGTGGAAACTTTCTAAAAATTGTCAAGTAGTACAATTATTGAGTACGACACGGATGCTGTTGAATGGACGACAAGCCCATTGTTCGTATTGCACGTTGAGTCACACGGAGCTTGGAAAAAATTGCGTACGGCCGCTTGAAGACTGATTACAACTTCCGTATTGTCGTCTTCGATTTGTCGAATAGAAAGTTTAACGCCAACCACGCTTACAGCAATAGCGTACACTCGGAAAAATAAAAATTATACAGTAGAGTATGAAATGCCTGTCATCTATTATTTGTCGACATTTACAGGATAGTAATACCCAACCACATAGAGGTAAATTCAGAGACAAATAATTATACACTAAGGATATACTATAGAGGTATCATAAAACGCAGACGAAATTATTTTATTTAATAATAATTTTAACAAAAAGGTCAGCTGATATTTTATATTTCTGCTTTGGATGGGTCAAAGGAACAGGTTGTAGGAAACTATAAAGAACGCATGGGTCGAATCACGTACATCGTGGCAGGCTCTTTATCGAAGTCAAATAGCCTCGAATCGCTCCCGAAGGACAAGGTCTTTTATCCTCTTGGCTATTTGCATTCCACGCACATCGATCGAATTTTACGTAGCATAAAAGGAATTACGCGAGTAAAGAAACAAGACACCGGATGTAGGAAGTAATTACGGGAGGAAATTTTCCTTATATTTCTTTGAAATGTGTTTCAACAATTGTTAAACCTAACTTTGTAATTTAATATTTTAGAAATAAATTCCGTTTGTGCCAATTGCGTTGTATTAAATCGATTAAAATGTTACATTGAGGTAATTAGCGAGCAATTTAATAAATTAATTGTATAGCATATTTTATCGCATTGTATGTTGTAAAAAGAAAAGTTAACTAATCGAATTTTATCACTTAAGCGCTAACATCAATTTTGATAAATTCAATCATCGCGAGACTAACGAAAACAAACTTTTATCTCACTCATGATAGTGACCATACTTATTATCATATCTGAGTCGCCGGATTCATCTACTATTTCCGATAGTACAAAACTGATTACGATGCGACAGTCTCTTGAAATATTTGTGACAGTAAAAAAGGATTGACTGAATGATAGGCATGTAAAAATCTAAAATCCCAGTCAGAACTATATGAAGAAATTTTTATAGCAAGTCAATGTTATTGTACTTTATACAATACACATTGAAATAGTTCTTTATCTCGACGTCTGGGCTTATCGTTTGTATATGGTTCTCCAATATTAATTACAGTCGCCTTCCATGGAGCCAAGATGAGAACAAGCAATTATTAAAGTTCTCTCTCTTTCTCTCTCTCATTAGTAATTAATATATTTGTATCATTTCTATTCTAAATACAGAACCTCTAAAAGAATGTAATATATGACTCTAAACAGATCTGCAAATCTAACAAAAATTTACGTATGCTTCAATTCGAGAAACTAAGAGATGACGAATCGATAATATGTACTAAAAACAAAGTCACTTTATTTACTCTAATCTTTGACGTAATTGCTTACTTATGTACATAAATATGTACACAAATGATGAACATATCAAAGCAATACGAAAATCTGTAAATATCTAGACTTATCTTTACACAGCTGACTCAATAATTTGACCCTTTTAGTCGTTCGGATGTACTACGCATAAACATGTGATAAATTTATAAGTATAACAATTTATATAATATCCACATCGATAAATTGTAAGGAATAATTATATATATATAATTAAATAAACATATATATATATAAATCTATGTTCCCTGAAGGCAATCTTCTCGCTCGATTGACACTTTGTCACTTCCGGTCGCGAATCATTCGATCCACGGTTTATATGTGCTTACACATGAATCACAAACTCGGCGGTCACTGAAAAAACGTGAGCCCAACGTGACAGAAGTGATTCACAAAGATTTTGCTGAATGGCAACGAACGGTTTTTTATTCTACGTTGCCAGCAGCTGTACATTGATCGTTAATCGTAGCCGTTTTTATTAACGCGTTTATAATTTGCCTGGAAGATTAAATTTAAACAGTAGAATTCTTTTCGAGAAATTTTCAGGTGACTAAAATATTCGAAATATTTAATCGTTTGATTTTCATTGAATAGAACATCTATATTAATTATATTTTTTACGTTATTTGGCTCATTTTCGACCGAATCATATCGTGTATCCTTCTATTTTTAAAACATCTCTATTGTATGAAAAAAAATGTGAAATAATCGTTATTGATTCGTGTGGTTTTTCGTTTCAATTTTATATACCACTATATCGTCAACATTATCAATATAGTTTCGTGTATTCCACTCATGATTTTCCGAGTGTTCCATTAACGTCACTCCAGCTAACCAACTCAATGGAAGCTATGGAATTCATTTAACAATAGTATGTCAGTTCTGAGATGCTTTACTATCTCGTACTAAAAATGTTACAACTCTAATGTTTTCTCAGGGAAGATACTTTTTCAAGCGAAATTTCTAAATATATACAGATTCCAATGATACAATCGATTACATGTGCGCCATAATGATTACCATAGCTGAAATCACTTTCTATTTTTATCTTATGTTTTTCTTCTCTACTGTGTATGGTGTTGTATCACATCGATAATTGAATAATCAAGTATCAGTATATCTTTCTCTTACTCTCTCTGTCTTTTCACAATAGTATTTGATTTCTATTGTTCATCAACCCCAGCTTATATTTCCACTTTTATTTATACTTATATACTTTGCTTATACGTCGTCGGATATTATGTATTATCGAATACGTTTGTATATATGTTTATATGTGGTAAAGTATCTTTGACAATCTAATTTATGATATTAAAACTTCAGGGTTATCTTCTTATCTTAGTTATCGATTAAAACTTTGCGATTGGAAGATTCTACATTTCTATGAATGTGTAACATTTAATGATTTCATGTTCTGCTCATTAACCACATGTTACAAACCCCTACATTGGAAACCATACTTAAAGGCGTCGTTCAAAGTGTTCCACAAATAATAAAAACAGCTCTGAAGTTCCTTGAAACGATTTTTTTTTAAAATATTAAATATTTCAGAATTATTGTTACATTACGAATTATTCTGTAAATTTTTCTGTATTATAACGATATAAACTCCTTACAATTAGTATAAAATTATTTTGTAAATGTATCAAAGATAATTCTATACTAAAAATACACTGTAAATTATTCCGTAATTTTAAGAATAATTCTACACTAAGAATTAGTTTGTAAGTTACTCCGTATTAAAAATTACTCTATGCTTGCAATTCAGTAAATTATTTCGTACTTAAAATAATACCACGTACAAGTTATTACAAAGTAGATCCATTATATGTATATATTGAACGCAGATCCTACCTAACTATAGGAAGATGCAGCAATTCTACACACCTACGCCAATGGGAACGTTTCATAAGATCCAGTTAGAGGTAAGCGTGATGATCATCCAGAGCCAGACAAGTCTCTCGTACAACGTACATGTACTGCATCGTGGAACAAGCCAACAGTGCTTACAGAGGCCACTCTAATGGTACAAGTCGAATAAAAACCAGACGAGCCGGTGTATACACACACGAATTAACGCGTAGATCGACTAACGGTGTAAAGCTCCATATATGTAGTAGGCTCGGCGATCAAGTGAGGTCACAAAACCGAGCATAAGGTTTACACGTTCGAAGGTCTGGTCAAACCAGTTGATGGAAACCTAAGAAGATAAAGATCCTCCAGTAAACAGAGTGTACATCAAGAATCCCTTAGCTTTAGTCCAGTTTCTATTGGAAACTGCATTTGCTATAGAAATCGGAGATTGTAGCTGATATAATTAGATTGCAATTTTTAAGCAAATTCGTATTCTTGAGAACATAATTAAAAAAAGTTCATCTTGGTAGAAAATTGTTTTATCCTACCAGATATTACAGAAAATTGTTTTATCCTACCAATTATTACAGAAAACATCATGCTTTGGATATTTTATATATTTTTTGATGTTACGCATGCGCATTTTGTGTTATTTTGCGCT